TGGAGATATGACCTTGTTCTTCAGGTCTTGTCATGCCCTAAATGACGAATACCCAATATCTTGCGTTGGCTATGGGCCTTGTGAGCTTTTGACACCCTAATTTCGTTTTTTTTTTTGCCAGTCTTACCTCCCACCTATCATTGAACATGTTGTTCTGCGATGTATGTACAGATGTTAGGGTCAGGGTCAAGGTCAACCTAGGTCATCTAAAATTGTTGCGTTTTAGGCAAGTTGAATTTACTTTCCGTGAAGTTTCTTTGAATGCATGTTTAGTAAAAGCTTCTCAGTTCATGATCTCATGTAGGAATAGGCAGGGACACACAAACCGATCTGTGCACACATCAGTACATACACAGACATACACAGACATACAAACACATATCATTGACCTTGACCTAGCTTGACGTGAAATGACCACAGCCAGCAAATTAGTCGGATAGTGTGACAAAGAGCTGTTCTCTGGCTTGGCACTAATACGGCAGCGTCATCGGTATATGATGAGTTGGCCCGCTGCTTGTGTAGGTATTTTATACGACATCACCACACCACAATTTTTTTCTTACAAGATTTTAAGCTTCGCGGTCAAGAGCAACAGATTCTTTGGGAAGAGACGAATCCAATGATACCAAATTTTACCTCATCAGGTCAGTCATTGACCTTTCAGGTCAGGTCAAACTAAAGAATGTTGCTGTTTGGGGTCACCGTTGCCCGTTGGAATATCACGTGCGCTGCTCATCATATACCGATGACGCTGCCGTATTGTGGTGCCAAGCCAGCTAGAACCTCTTTGTCACACTATCCGACTAGGTTTTTGCTGGCTGTGGTCATTTCAGGTCAAGTTAGGTCAAGGTCAATGATATGTGCTTGTATGTCTGTGTGTGTCTGTGTGTATACTGATGTGTGCACCGATTGTGAATGTGTCCCTACAGAAAAGCTTTTACCAAAAATACAGTCAAAGAAACTTCGCGAAGTAAATTCAGCTTGCCTAAAACGCAATATTTTTAGATGACCTAGGTTGACCTTGACCATGACCCTGGCATCTCTACATCGTCGAACAACATGATCCATGGTAGGTGGGGTAAGACTGGCAAAAAAGGCCGAAATCAAGGTGTCAAAAGCTCACAAGACCCATAGGCCATAGCCAACGCAAGATATTGGGTATTTGTCATTTGGGTTATGACATCACCTGAAGAATAAGGTCACATCTCCGAAATCAAAAACCACAGAAACTTGAAATTTTCAGTGGACACTAAGAAAGGAATTAGAGAAGCAGCTATACAAAACATCCGGCTTCTAGCAATCAAAATTTTGAGTGCAGAGCAGAAAAACTACCTGGGGGGTGGGGGTGGCAATCACTGCCCCCTAGTGATGGCAATTACGGAAAGTCGGAATACCGATACCAAACCAAATACCAACCAAAACCACGGGAAAATACCGAAACCAAACAAACTTGGGAAACTGAGGGAAATACCAACTTTTTACCGATTTCTTAGCCTCTTATACATTAGTGAGGGCTTATGATACCAACAAAATGCCAAACACATTACGATTGAAATACCAAATACCAAGTTGGTATCGGTTTGGTATCGGTATACCAAAAAGTTGGTATCCGATTGACATCTCTACTGCCCCCCCCCCCCCCCTATGTGCGGGCGAGGATTAAATAACTTAAATATTAGGAAAACAATTTATTCAAACAGGTATTCCAACAGAGTCCCGCTTTTTTATAGGTGACCTCCGATTTATGTAGCATCTAAGTTGCCCAGGGCGCCTCTTATTTGTAGGTACAGTACAGAGAGCCTCCTACTTCGACTACATACTTGCACAGAGAGCCTCCTTTTTGTAACAGCTTAGCTTCTGCAGGTCGAGCGCCGGTCTTCTATTTGCACGTACAGAGAGCCTCCTACTGTTAGAGAGGGCCTCCTATTTGTCTAGGGGGCCTCCTATTGGTTAATGGCGCCTCCTATTTGTCCAAAGGGCCTCCTATTCGTCTAGGGGGCCTCCTATTTGTTCAGGAGGCCTCCTGTTTGTCCAGAAGGTCCCCTCTTTTTCCAGCGGGCTTCTATTTTCCAGGGGCCTTCCTCTTTATCCAGGGGGCCTCCTACGTGTTCAGGGGCCTCTTATTTGTCCAGGGGCCTCCTATTTATCCAGGGGTCTTCTATTCGACCAGGGGTCTCATATTTGTGCAGGGGTCTCCTACTTGTCCAGGGGCCTCCTTTTTGGAAGGACCTCCTTTTTATTAAGGGAGCCTTCTATTTGTCCAAGGGGCCTCCTATTCGTACAGAGGGCCTCTAGCTCCTACTTGTCCATGGGGCCTCCTATTTGTTCAAGAGGCCCCTATTTGTACAGGGGTCTCCTATTTGTCCCGGGGGCCTCCTATTTGTCCAGGGGGCCTCCTATTTGTCCAAGGGGCCTGCTATTTTTCTAGGGGGCCTCCTATTTGCCCAAGAGGCCTCCTATTTGTCCAGCGGGCCTCCTACTTGTTCAGGGGGCCCCGTTTTTGTCCAGAGGGCCTCCTATTGGTTAAAGTAGCCTCTTATTTTCCAAGCGGCCTCCTATTTATCCAGAGTGCTCCTATTTTAAGGGGGCCTCCTCTTTATCCAGGGGGCCTCCTTCTTGTTCAGGGGCCTCCTATTTATCCAGGGGCCTCCTATTTGTCCAGGGGGCCTCTTATTGCCCAGGGGGCCTCCTTTTGTGAAAGGGGCCTCCTATTTGTCCAGGGGGCTCCTAACTGTCCAGGGAGGCTCCTTTTGTGAAAGTGGCCTCCTGGGTCTATGGCCTCCTATTTGTCCAGGGGGCCTCCTATTTTTCCAGGGGGCCTCCTATTTGTACAGAGGGCCTCCTACTTGTCCATGGGGCCTCCTATTTGTTCAGGGGGCTTCTTATTTGTACAGAGGGCCTCCTATTTGTCCATGGAGCCTCCTATTTGTCTAGGGGCCTCTTATTTGTCTAGGGCCTCCTATTTGTCCAGAAGGCCTCCTGCTTGTCCAAAGAGCCTCCTATTTCTCCAGGCGTCCTCCTGTTTTTCGGGGGACCTCCTACTTGCTCAGGGGGCCTCCTACTTGTTCAGGGGGCCTCCTATTTGTCCAGGGGGCCTCCCATTTGTCCAACAGGGCCTCCGATTTGTCCAAGGGGCCTCCTATTTATACAGAGATCCTTCTATATGAACATCGGACCTCCGTTTGTAAAGTAGCTGGTGCGTCTCGGGGGCCTCCACTATTGGGGTCCCAAAATGACAATTGGGGTCCCAAATGATCGTATTGGGGTCCCACATGGGACCTCAAAAGTATACAAAGTTACACCCATGCAACGAGGGCCACTATCTGACAATCTATCTGACCATTTTCCGGAGCACACCGGCGCGGTGGATTTCGGTCACCATTCACAGGTCGCCGCCCGGAGCACTGCGCAGGGCACCGCGTCGGTCTCCCTGTCAGCCCCGATGCCTCCCGTCGGCGAGACGCTCTGCTCTTACAGCGTCAGAGCGGACCCGAGCTCTGCTCTTGCAGCGTCAGAGCGGCCCCGAGCTCTGCTCTTGGAGCGTCCGAGCGGACCCAATGCGACGGCAGCGGCGGCCGAACCGGGCTGTAGCAAAGACTGGCGCAGAGACGTGCGGCCCTCGGCCGTCACGGTCCAGGCCGAGCGCAGTGGGACGCTATGATTGGAGCACGCTGATTGGAGGATCCTGTGCCCAAAAGAACTGTGTCACGCCGGCCTTAATTGACAACGGCGAAGTTCAGGGACCAAGGTCGATGCTTTGGGGTCGAGTTTCAACGGCGATGACATATACTCAGCCGAATTACTATCAACTACCGTAGTCTATGGCATCGAGTTAACCCTCGCCCATATTGGTGTTTTGCCAGCCGCGAACGTATGCGGGGGGGGGGGGGGGGAGTCGTTAGATCCCCCCTTGCCCGTTGCCGTTTGGCCCCTGATCGAGCTAGAGCTTCGCGGAAAAAACAAGCGTGTTACCCGTGACGAGAGGAAGCCGATGATACTCAATTTTAAGGTCCTAGGTCATTGGTTGACCTTCTAGGTCAGGTCAATGACCCAAAAGTCGGGAAAATCAGTACCTGTTAGAACATCGTAAAATGAGATTGCCATGGGGTTTTCGGGGTGCTGATCGCGTATTTCGAATTAGTTTTGATCACAGATTATGTCATTAAGGCCAGGTCGGGTCAGGTCAGGTCAGGTCAACGCAGTAGGCGTACCCCACCTGGGCGTCTTACCCCACTCTCCCCTAAACGTATATCGCCCTGCCTGCTCCGGCTCAGTGACGCCGATGACCACTGTAGTCCGGGCGCCCCCCCCCCCCCCCCCACCCGGCTCAGTGAGTTGTCTCACCGCCCTTGTGAGATGGGCAGTGTATGTGCGCGCACTACGCCGCAGCGCAGCGGAAGACAACAATCGAGCCATCACCGCCGGCAGCGGACCGACCGACTGGCCCCCGTCCGCCCGGACTCTGCGCGCGCGGGACCCGGGTACCCAGTACCCACCTACTACAGAGCGACACCGCACTACGGGTGTGTAGCGTGCCGTTGACCCGACGCGACGTTTCAATTTAGAGATGAATCGACTGTGATTGAGCACAATCAGACACGACACTGATACCAGGTCGAGCAAGCGGGTAAGTAGGTCACTTCTATGCAATGAGTTCACATTTGCGAAGCGGACAAGTCTGACAGTCGTCCCAAGTTAAGAGCACATAAGAACGAGAGAAAAGTGAGCTGTATGCTGATAGTAAAAGAGTCTCGAATGTGTCACATAAATTGCGTAAAATAAAGGCACGTGATCGATTACGGCGAACATTGTAAATCAAGTCTCGTCTTGAAACTGCGTAGGACCATACGCAGTCAACTTCTTTCAGAGAAGTCAAGCGTGGATTTCACCCATAGACTCACAGTGAAGAGATCGCAAAGTTGTCCTGGCCATTGGCGGTTTACCGTGAAACGCGCTCTAAATGCATTCATTGCGTTGTTTAGATGACATCCACATTACACTTCCATTTACTGTGCTATATTGCGACATATACTGGCCCGACCATTTGACTACGGATGCACAATACAGTAAGTAGTTACATCACATTCAGCTAATCTCTCAGGGCAACTGACTACTGGCCGGCCCGATTCATTCATTGCACATTGCAGCCGCCCCGATTACAATCAGCCTCTCTGGGAATGTTGCATGGGAATAAAACCCCTCACGGCCGTCTACAAACAACGAATAAAATATAAAATCCAACCAAATACAGCCAGCGAGGCCTTCATAAGACCGTGCGTAGGCAGCGGGTGCATCCGTTATCACGAGAAAAAAGCAGCGGCGACCCCGATACAAGACTGGTGGTGTCGGTCTGTGTACGAGCAGACAGCCGCCGGTCTCTGTTCTCGGCGTGCCCGGCAACAAAACCCGACAGCGGCACCGGCCCAATCTGCCCGCTATCAGCCGGCGCGGCCCCGACAGTTGGCCCTCCCCGGGTGCCGTCGCCCGTCGCCAGAGACGGCGGGGTGGGCCAGCAGCGCGCCGCCGCCGCCGGCCCTCTGAGGGCTATCGGTCGGCCGCCGTGCCGCGCCGAAAGACACAGAGAGATCGGCACGAGCCGAGGAGGGCCAAACCGGACTGAGTTACGTAACCTGTGATAGCGGCGGATACCGGCCGACGAACAGTGGTGGCGAGATACCGGAGGGCGCTCAGTCGCCATGATAACGACCGGCGGACCACGCTCTCAGACCAAGCAGCCCGCGGGGAGGGGGCTGTGTTACACACTACACACACCGCTAACACACTAACACGCCACTGATACACTCACATACACGGGATCGCGGCGGCGAGGCTACTGGCTAAGCAGGGGACTAGCGGGAGGCGAGAGGGTTCTTCATGATATCACTGCCGACTTCGATCTCCCTCTCCTTCGTCATCTGCTTCGACAGGTAGTCCCTGGAGACAAAGACAGAGACAGGCAAGAAGGTTAAATATGCCAACGAGGACATCTGAGCCTGCACGTCAGTATCAGCGAGAGGCATTGCTGTGTATAGCAGCAGCGGAATCGTACATCCTTCCTTGTAGAGCAAACGTGATAGGACCGATCAGTTGTATGAATGTCTGAGACATTTATGACGGTTTAAGAATAAGCTATGAAGTATCAAGGCTTTAAGCATATATTATTGGAAAATGTTAGGGTAATAAAGTATAATACCAGGGAATAGTAATTACCAGTTGTGGACCATGATCTTCTGGACGGTGAGCAGGGCGTACAGGCGCACACTCGGGTCGTCCGAGAGCATCTTGTCCATCACGCGCTGTTTGCCGTCCAGCGTTTCAATCACCCTGTGAGCGCACACACACGGTGGTCGCTCTATCAGGCGAGTCCTTGACGACGTACGCCACTTGTTTTGAATCCCAGTTGAAGTTAGTTTAAACAGTTTGATAGGTGAGTCAACACAAGATACAAAGTTAGCGGCCATCTGAGTCAATCAAAGACATAACTTAGGCTGCCTAAACACGACATAAACAGCTCACAAAGGAAGAGCGATCCGAACGCTTGCATAACGCGAAGTGAAGTATCTCTAAGGACACTTCACTTATCACACCATTTCTCGCCTCTCCATATCATTGATCAAAGACACAACTGACAAATTTCACGCTGAAATCAGTCCCTGTTCTGGCCCCGTCAGGTGACTGCCAGCTGAAGACACGGCGGTGCCAGCTGGCGGCCACCTCGGATGTTGGGGCGGCGCACTACTCACCGCTTCCCCCGCGGGTAGTGTCTGACGTATTCGCCGATATCGTGACAGGCCACGCTGATTACCAGCGGGTCCTTGGAGCTCTGAATCAGGTGGATCTGCCGGGACCGGAGACATGGCGCAGGTAGTGAATCGGCAGTCATGGGTGCTTCAGATCGTCAACTTACAAAGCAGCGCAAATCGTCGGGGAAAACAGCTTCACTGAACTGGCGAGCTGCAGCTGAACAGCGCATATTCCGCTTAACGCATCGTAATAACAACTGCTGATTATATAACCCACTAGTCTGACCGTCCTACCACGTCCTGTCTGCCATAGAATGCCCTCCCTGCCGCCCCAACAGGACACTGACCAAGATCTTGAGCAGCTGGTAATTGTTGTCGTTCAGTCGGCTGGCGTTCTCTCTCCAGAACTTGTCCGACTTGTGCACCAGTGACCACTCCAGCCGGCCTGACTTGACCTCAGTGCTGTACTCGTCAAACGAGCTGGTCGACACCGTGCAGGGAGACGGGTCAGTGGTGCGGCCGAGGGGTCGGGGTGAGGTCAGACGGGGCATCAGATAGTGCTACCGCCGGCTCGACATGTCACAAACCATCCTCACTTCGCAGGCAGTTTACTCACGGTATAAGGACAGCTCAGACAATAACTAAGCTGCACTGGAGTTGAATTTAAAAATCGCCTGCAGTGCATACAGACAGAGTGGGACCACGAACAAGCATATATGAATGGCACTGAAAGAAGAATTCTATAACACCTCTACCTTTTACCTGATATTACCCAGGGCCCACCGTGACTCTTCCGTCAGCTGAGAATAGTCTGATGCCATCTGAGTTCGCAGATCACACGGGTTTCACCCGATATCACAGACCCTCACCTCGGTTCATCTATCCCCTGACACTCGCCTGTTACCTGAGCCTCCTCCCGATGTCCCCCGGGCCCACCTGAGATCCTGGACGCTGGCGGTGAGGTGTTCCGTCAGGAAGCTGGCGTCTGCCATCAGGTCCTCGTCGCTGCTGTAGCGCTGACTGATCAGCTCCAGGTGACGCAGCACCTTACACTGCACCATCTGGATCGAGTTGTCGCGCCTCACACTCGCCTCCTGCACCTTCTCGATCAGATTCTGCCGGCAGCGACAGCCGCTCAGCGTGGGAACGCGAAAACTTTACTTACCCCTTACATGGTCAATTGTGATTTGTTATGCACACTTTTAGTGAAGATTTCAAGTCTGGAGACAATTTACTTACGGCTTTATGAATGCTTAAGTATCGTCACATCGTCGAGGTATCGTCAAATGCTTAGGATCAAAATGGGTCAACGCACAACGATTGGTCACTGTAGCACTTTGATATCCAATACCACCTTGGAATTTCATAACTGATAACCACCGTCAATCAACTGCAATGACTCAGTAGCGGACAATGTGAGCTGTCGCGTTCGAGTAATTACCCGGAATGTGGCGACACACATCCTGACCACCTTCTCCTTCTCTGTGTCGATCAGAATGTCGGCCAGAATCGGGATCAGATTGAACCTGCCGCACACAGGAGGCAGGCTCAGTCAACGGCAGACGAAATTATGAGCAGGGGTGTAGGATCGCAAAATAGGTTGGGGGGGCTGAACCCCGGACGCCGGTGGGGCGGCGACGAAAGGTGCTGAGCGGGGGGGGGGAGGAAAAAACCAGCAGTGGAAAAGGTGTTGACCGGGGGGGGGGGGGGAGCGTGGACCATGGTGGTGAAAAGCGGGTCTATGACTTGAGGGATATGACTTAATCTCCCCCTGGATCCAAGTTCAGGCTTATAAAATAAGGCGTAGGTATTTATATTCCGGCTCAACGTTTTGCAACCACATTTATGCAGTGTATTTTCCCGCTCTTTTCAAATGCAAAGTGATGCCACTAAAATGGTATATGTATGCTCTTCTTATATACTTAAGGCTGATGAGAGATTCAATTTCTTGATTGATTCAGTATTTAGATTCCTATCCCCTAGTTTGGCAAACTGTTTCAGGGGTTCCTTGGAGGTACCCCTGCACTTTCCTAAAATCTAGGTACTCTTTTTTCACCAATCACCCACTTCATTTCGGAAGGGTCAAGTTTTTGTGTAAAGATTGTAGACTGTTTAATGGCTCCCTTTTGGCTGTTTCAGGGACCTCCTCGACTATTTCTTGGGCCACGATAGCGGTATCGACAAAGTAGGCGGATTGTGATCGGTAAAACAGGACAGTCACAGAACAATTTCTGTTGTAGTATTTCGCAAAACCCCCGCATTCTGCATATCATTGGAAGCAAAATTTTGTTTTTAAAGTTGTAGGTCGTGTAGCCAAACGAATACCTACTTCCAAAATGCACGAAACAATTGCAGGCACATACCTAGGATTTGGCCAAGGGGGGGGGGGAGCGGAGGATCCCGGGGGGCCTCCTCTCTACAGGGCGCCTCCTCTCTACAGAGGGCAAGGGAGGATCTAGGCGAACGTTTTTGTGGGGGGGGGGGGTTACAGGTCGGCCGACTTGCCGGGTCTGATGGATGAATTCTGACGACCGGAGGAGGGGGGGGGGGGCGAGTATGTCGAGATCAAAAGGCATATTTCGTCTTCGTCGTTTCTAAGATGAAGCTTTATCGTTATAAGTCACTCGGCTCAGTAGTTTAAGTTAATTCCACGTATAGCGTCGCCACGGATTTCTTACTGGGGGGGGGGGGCGTATCGACCGACTTAAAAACCCCGAGAAGTTGATATTGTTACCGCACTTTTAGCCTAATGCATTAGTAGCATACAGTAGCGATCTCTGTATTGACCTGTTAACGAACCGGCGGCGCGAAGCGCTGCGAAAGCCGAAAATTTGCAAAAAAAAAAACGTTTGTCAAAACACAGCTCCAAAACACAAATTTACGACCCTTTTAGCATGCTAGTACAAGCCAGAGTTCCTTAACAGTATAGGTAGTCGACTACAGAATGATGTTCCACTTTTCACAGGCAAATATTTGCCTGGAGTGGTAGGCTGTGCCGCATCACACGGGCTGAGTTCACAAATTATAACTTTGTCCTAATGCTCACAATCGACAGGCGCTTAATTGCGTGATAAACGGCACAACTAGCGCTCCAGTCAACTGATAGCTTCTGAGGAGTGGAACACCATTCTGTAGTCGACTATACACTTAGGGAATTTTGATTCAATTTGACAGGGTTGGTGTTATTACAGTCACGACCTTTTTTATTGATTGGTGTATGAATCGGAGGCGCGGAGCGCCGAGAAAATTTGCAAAAGCATTTGTCAAAACACTGCTACAAATCACAAACTTTACAACTCTTTTAGTATGGTAGTACAAGCCAGAGTTCCTTCACACTCCACAGTACACATATGAATTCCGATTCAATTTGACACGGTTGGTTGGTGTAATTACAGTCACGATCTCGTATTGACCTGTAGGTACACAAATTAAAAAAAAATCAAAACACAGAGGGGCCTCCTCTCTAGAGAGGACCACCTCTCTACTGTGGGCCTCCTCTTTTCACAGGGCCTCTCAACTACAGAAGACCTCCTCTCTACAGAGGACTTCCTTTCTACGGAGGGTCTATCTCTTTCAGAGGGCACCCTTTCTTCAGAGGACCTCCTCTCTAGTCTCTACAGGGGACCTCCTCTCTACAGAGGACCTCATCTCTGCAAAGGGCCTCCGGCCTCCTCTCTACTGAGAAAGTCCTCTCTACAGACGACATCCTCTCTTCAGAGGGCCTCCTCTCTTCAGAGGGCCTTCTGCTTTCAGGCGGTCTCCTTTCTACAGAGGGCCTCCTCTCTACACAGGGCCTTCTTTCTACAGACGGTCTCTTCTCTACAGAGGGCCTCCTTTCTACAGAGGGCCTCCTCTCTACAGAGGGGCCTCCTCTCTACTGAGGAGTCAGAGGGGCCCTAGCGGTCAGACACAGACACTAGCAGTTATTCACAGGAGGCCCCAGGAAGTAAGAAGGACCCTAGCTGTCAGGCTGGTCAGAGGCCCTGAATATCCTGACGTGATTTTTGGGATTCCCTTGAATTTCTTTCGCCTCCGACGTGATTTTGGCCCCCGTGGCCTTCGGCCCACGGGGGCCTCCTGAAAACCCCGAGGGGGGGGGGCACCCCGTCCATCTTGGGTACATCCCTGAACAATTGTCCTCATCGTTCGTCCTACCGTCCGAGTTCCACCCACATGGCCTTGCACCCACCCCTAAACAAACGAAACGAAGCTGTCAAGTGTCGCGCCTTTGTTTTGTTGTTTTTTCTGCTTTCTGCGCCGCTTTAGCGTGCGTTCGGCATCCGGAAAATATCGCTTCGATATTCTCAGCCGGAAAATTATTGGTGGGTGCCTATCTTATCATGTCTCTCTTAACATGTCTCGTTATCGCGATACTGAACGTATTTCCCTGATTATCCGGATGCCGAACGCACGCATAGAAACATCCAAAGGTTTCGTGCAAGGTTTTGTGCTGTATCGTCAGCTTATTATGCCTGCGATGGCGTCAAATTCCGTAAAAAGGATTTGGCCTTCTTCTGAAGGCGAGACCTAAGAGATATCTTAGAAAAAAGATGAAAAAACAGTTAACAGTTAGTGAATGTGCAAATTTCTTTCACCAAATCCATTTAAGATAATGCCAGTTTATTTTTATTCATTATGACGTTATTATTTTAAAGATTTGACACAATCATAAACATAATCAGCTGACGATATTTCACCGGCCTTGATTTCACCTCTATTTTACTGATTTTACTCAAATTTTACTAGTCTTGTTACAAAAACGGTGTGACAACGTTCGGGGGGTGAGATAACCGTTCTTGGAGTTCTATAGCCTTGCGTTCTTGTAAAATACCGCAACCAAAGTTGCTTGGTGACGCCTGCTGCACTGGCGTCCTAACAAACATGTTGACCAATTGATTATTTCAGGCTTGCTAAAACCACAGTTGATTTTTGTGTACCTTCCTGGTTTGGTTTTGCTAGTATGTTCTTTCTAATGACTCGAAAGTCATTTTATAAATTAAATTTACTCCCTCCATTGCAATGCACATTTTCAAAGCCCCAGTTAGTTTTAAGGCCAAAATTGGGTAGTTAGTCGTAAAGCTGAGAGGCGCTTTACCCAGACTCCAGAGATGCTTTCTAATCGGACCAAACCAAACCAAACCTAACCAAACCTGACCTAAACTCACCTACAACCTACAACCAAAAACCTGCAACCTAAAATCTACCACCTAAAACCTAAAACCTACACCCTATAGCCGTACCTACAGCGCATCTCCTTGGTTTCAAAAGAAGTGTGACGCCTGCTTTACTACTGCCCAAAATTGTAACTTTGCCAAGTTGAGCTTTCTTTAATTTGCCAGTATTTTATAATGTTGGGGGGGGGCTGCCTGGCAAGTTGAGGGGGCTGACCAGCAGGTTGGGGGGGGCTGAAGCCCCCCCAACTGTATAGGATCCTACGCCCCTGATTATGAGTCAGACGATACGGCAAGGGCTGACAATCGGGAAGCTCACAACAGGGTGGGAAGGCTGTAATGTGTGAAATGAGTTAATAAGACGCCAAGCGGAACAAAGAAGACGAGGGGAACAAACAAAACATAAACAGTACAGGGATGGGTATTGACGTCGTCCTATTTTGCACTTTATCCTTTTTGAAACGAAGTTATCATACATATTTAAAAATTCAAGGCGTGTTACAGGTGACATAGACTGCAGACAAGCCAGAAATGGTGTCATTCAATGCCGACAGCGTGGCAGTTCTGGTGGGAGAGTGCAGAGCCACTCACTTTCCCATCTTCTCGGCGATATCGCTGTTGAATGTGAGGACCCAGAGGCAGAAGACGAGCTGATACTGGCACTGGAAGTTGACGCCCGAGCTGAGCACCGATAGCAGTGTGGACACGCCGTCCACGCGCAGAAACGCGTGTCGGTACTCGTCGACACGCAGCAGCAGCTGCAGACAGCGCGCGATCGTCGGAATATACTGGTTGTTCTGTGGAGGCACAGACATTGAGACACGTCAGCGCATGGCCAAACTGCAAGCGTCGCCTATTTCTGATCCAGGGCAGACAGGCAGAATCGGAGCACGTGGTATATTGACCAGAATCTACATGTAAAAACTATGTCGTTTTACGGTTATCGCATATGTTCATATCAACGCACATATCACAAACATGTACGATTGTACGCATTACAAAGAGTCAGCGTAGTCCGATTAAACTAATTGAGCAGTTTATGTAACAGCTGCCTGTCAGGACACTAAAGAGTCCGCCTGTTTGACTGTGGACCACGTTCAGCACCTATCCCCGCTCGCTGTCCTTCCCCGCCGCGGGCGGGATGCCACTGACCGGCCGTTTCAGCTGGTCCTTGAGCCAGGTGAAGTAGAACTGCAGGTCACCGCCGTCCATCAGCTGGCGGCCGTCGCAGGCCAACCGCGCCAGGATCCAGGCCGTCAGGTTGACGCTGATGTCGTCCGGACGGTTCAGCAGGTTCAGGAACGGCGCCCAGACGCTCTCGCGCTTCTTCTTGGCGTAGTCGCGGAACACGCGGCAGTTCTCCTTCTCCTGCGGGGATCCGGACGAAACGGACTCAACAACCGGGACCTGTGTGGGGATTTAGGTAATATGGAGTAGCAGTTCAGAGCTCCCTTTGCAAACTGGCGATTTGGGGCTTAGTTCGGGGACTCCGCAGGTCGAACCCATTCGATATGAACCACCGACATAAGTCTTGCAGGGACTTTGCGGTATATAAAAAATCAAAGTCAACTCAAGAAGCACAATTCACGTTAAAGTAACGACCAAGCACACCCATTCTCGCATTATGAAGAATGGTATGACAAAAATAAGCAACGGATCAACAGCAAAAACACTCTCAAACGCCTGCATGACGGTTAGGACGTGGGCATCACACAGGGTGGGAAGCATCAAAACGAGACATGATCCCCAGAAACCGACCGTGAGCATGTCCTCGATGAGTATGAGCAGGTACTGGATGGTCTGGTCCTTGCAGATGTGGCCGAGCAGGTTGAGAAACGTCTTGGCGCACTGGTGGCCGTGCTCACGCAGGATGGCGTTGCGTTTCTCCGGGTTCCCCACGGCGTTGTCGTAGGCCAGGATGAAGTTGTAGTCTTCCTGGCTGATCATCTGAGACCTGCGGAGGTGGATGGTTTGAGACTAAATATGGTCGTTCTAAGCAGGATGAAGGGATTGGGAAATGGGCGGGGCAGCTGTCCATGTTGCTGAGCCTTATGTGTACCGCTCGTGTCGATAGTATCGCTCAACATAAAGAAGCTTTCTTGGAGCCATGAAAATCCTTTCCAGAAGTGCAAGGTGTACAAAAGACATCAAAAGCATTGCCAAAACATCCAACTACATTGACTAGGTGACAAATTTCACCAGTCAGCTGCAATTTAAAGAAAAGAAATAGGCTGTGAGCCTGTGATACATCAGTCAGTGTCATGTGTATTGTGTATGACATAGATCCACTGAACTCAAAAGTGGCCTGCTCCTGCATAGGTACTCACTGTAGGTAAGACTGCCAGTTGACTTTCTGGGCCTTGATCTCTGCTGCCTGGACCTGCAGCAATCCGGTGCATTCTGAAATGAGAAATGTACCATCTTATGTTAGATGTCGTTTGCGTCAAAATCTGTCAATAACAAGAGACTAATTGCAGCATTTTCTTTGCAACGCTAAGTGAAGATCTTACAGTTAACATATGAACTAGAACCAAGACAGTGACCCGGTAGAATTATATTTCGCAGGTGTGGGTTTCCATGAGCTTTAAAAATAAATTCTGAGGCATGGGGCAGGAGTGAATGAACGTGCATTTAAGTGATTATCGGCGAACACGAGAACTCGAGTGACTTTGGGGGCCAGCGACCGGTCGTCAAGGGAAACAATAGCGACGGTGTCGCCGCCTGGCGATGAAATCCGCGGTGGTTGGTCAGCTGCCTAATCTAGCCACCAGGTGGCACTACGTTCGCATGAGTCACTATAAATGCAACAACAGTGATTGCTCATTCAAGACAACCAAAGTTATTCCTGAACCATGCAGGAGTGCAGGGGACATATTCTCAAAAAGTTTATTTATTCACAAAATGATCATTGGATATTGCTTGCTTATGTGCTGCAGTGCAAATGAAAACAAGCCTTTTCTGATATACCTACCTAGTCCTACATAGTTGTTTTTAGGCAAGGAAAACAGCAAAATTTCGCCAATGTGGGATGCTGCAGAAGGGACCGAAGCCCTTGGCCCTTGCGCCTTGCTTGTACTTCACTAATTGTCAATGGCATATTTTGCTTTTAGCTATTTACACCAATACAATGGCATTCCACACTGCAAGTCTGCAAGGCATGACAATGTTGACGAGAGCTTCTCAGTGCTGGGAAAATCTGTCAGTGTGTGGTGTTGAGATTTGCTAGAATCCACACCACAGTGTAGGCCCTTACAGGGAACTGTGCTATGTCTTTGTGCTGGAGCATCTTTGTCTGAAAAAAAAAAATAATGCATAAGGTCCTGAGACATAACTGGGTCAGCCTGGCCAAAGAATTCACTTTTATACACTTTTGCCATATCACAACTGTGGGTTTGGACATGCAGCAAGAACTATAGGATTTGTTGACTGCAGGCTGATGCGGATTTCCAGCCAGGTTGGCATGGATTTGTCACCCCAGCTTGAGTGGTCAGTGCTTCATTCACCTTGTTGCCATGCTTTGACTCTGGATTGCATTCAATAGCCAAAAACCTATTGAAAATTATTGATAAATATTTTCCGAACTCTCTGCCCCCTGCTGTGGTCTATGCTCCCTCTGTCAACAGCTTTAAGGGCAGGCTTGATAAACACTGGGCTCACGCCAAGTACACCTTACACTTCAACGACTGATGCAGTGACACACTGACACATAGCTCGTCATGTCTGTTGTGTATCGAGTGGTCAGTACTTTCCTTATTCTGCTACTTCCGATTGTACTTCATGCTTTTGGCTGACTCCAAAGACTCCTTTTTACTCAGAACGTTTCTTCCATACTACACAAGGCCAAGAACCACAACTTCCAAGGTTCTCCATGAGGCACACTCTCTAAATCCAGGCAGAGTAAATGACGTCACAAGAGACATCATCCTAATACACAACACTCCTCCCCACTAAACAACACTTTACAGGTTCATGCGCACTACAGGTTTACGCTCACGCTGGGGATGAGTGCGCAGTTCTGGGGTCTTCCGGATGACGTCCGCTGGACGTGCCCTAGGACCTACAGTCTCTTGTTCAGTGTTCGCCTTCGCTGCTGACGCTGCTTCAGGTGACTGTGTTGCAGCGATCCCATCTTCCTCCAGCACGAGCCCGCGGTTACCGGTTGAAGTTACCGACTGTTCCACAGCGCTATGCAGTGGCGGTCCATGTTCCCGCTGCACCGCTGGTGCGTCTTGCGCTGGGAGATTGCAGTGCTCAGACGGATTGATCTCCTGCCGCAGATTAGTCACTGGAGGTCGGACACCTGGCAGACAGACAATCTGATCGATGTGTCGACGCCACACTTCGTCTTGCACTTGGACTAGGTAGTGTTTACTGCCTTGACGTTCGATGACGTCTCCCTCCCTCCATTTCTGTGCACCTCGGTAGTCGCGGACCAGGACTGATTCGCCGACTTCGAGCGTTCTGTCGGTTCCCTTCTGTGATCTTTCTACTTGTTCCTGTTGCTTCTCTCGAACTTCACTTGCGAGGTTGGGCTTCAGGAGGTCCAGGCGGTTTCGTAGCGGCCTGCCCAGCATCAACTCCGCCGGTGTACGTCCTGTTGACGCTTGTGGCGTACTGCGGTACGCCATCAGGAAGTTCGGGATGTTGACCTTCTTGCCTTTTGAGGCCTTCAGCAGGTTCTTCAGACAACCCACTGCTCTTTCCGCAGCTCCGTTAGTGGACGGCTTGTACGGCGCTGTGACACTGTGCTTGATTCCGTTCCTCTCCAAGAACCCTTCGAAGTCCTTGCTGACGAGTTGTGGACCATTATCCGTGACCAGTTGGTGAGGCAGTCCCCACCTAGCGAACAGGTTCAGCAGGTATTCAATCGTCTTCTCTGTTGTGATGGTCTTCATTGGAGCGATTTCCATCCACTTCGAGTAGCTGTCGATGACAACCACGTAGAATCTACCTTCCACAGGACCAGCGAAATCTAGATGTATCCGTTGCCAGGGTCCCTTGGCATACTCCCATGGGTGGAGATCTCCGCTTGGTGGCTCTGCTCGCTTTTGCCAGCAGCCTTCGCAGTTCCGGACTTCCGCCTCGATCTGCTTGTCCATGTTCGGCCACCAGACGTGCCCTTCCGAGCTGCTTCATCTTCACCATTCCTTGATGTCCGGCATGCAGCTCGCTCAGCACTCTGGATCTCAGGTTCGGCGGAACCACGACGCGACATCCCCACATTAGACATCCGCGCTCCACGGTCAGTTCGGTTTGCCTCATCTTGAATGGTTGTAGCTCTTCATTTACGGCTTCTGACCAGCCGTTGTGCACGAAGTGCATCACCTTCGCCAGGATTGGGCTTCTGGCCGTCTCTCGTTGAATCGCTGCGGCCGTCACCGGACTTAGCGACTCCAGTTGTCCGATCAGACAGACAGTGCACTCGTCTTCTGGTGCTTCTGACTTCAGCACTGAGCCTTCTCTCGGTAGACGTGAGAGCCAATCAGCTACTGGAATCTGTTCCGACTTCCTGACTTCCACAGAGAAATCGTACTCCGCCAACTTCATCGCCCATCTCTGGATCCGTGAGGCAGCCAACGTCGGCAGCGGCGCCTTAGGTCCAAAGACGTGAGCTAGCGGCTTGTTGTCCGTTACGAGCTTGAAATGGCGCCCGTACAGGAACTGCTTCAGTCGCTGAAATGCCCAGACTACACAGAGTCCTTCCCTTTCTATCTGAGAGTATTTCCGCTCGTGTTCACTCAGCGATCTTGACACGTACATGATCGGCCGCTCATCCTTCCCTTGAACGAGTACGGCGCCTAGTCCTTCTGGACTAGCGTCCGTGATCACCGTCACCTGCTCCGTCACGTCGAAATGACGCAGCACTTCCGTTGATGACAGCTGTCTCTTGATGCTGTTGAAGCTGGCTTCACACTCTGCAGTCCACTTCCATTCGCTGTCTTTCTTCAGGAGTTCATTCAACGGCCTTGCTGTCTTCGAGAGGTTCTTCAGGAAGCGGTTGTAGAACGTGACAGCACCGAGAAACTCACGAACTTCTTTCTGGTTGGTGGGTGCTCTTGCGTTCAGCACGGCTTTCACACGTTCTGGATCTGTTCTGATGCCCTCGGCTCCTAGCCTGAGCCCTAGGTACCGGACTTCCTTTGTCAGAAACTGACATTTCTCCTTTTTCAGACGCAGACCGTGTGACTTCATGATCTGCATCACTTCGTCCAGTCGCTTCAGTGCTTCTTCTTCAGTTCTTCCTGTGATGAGCATATCATCCAACAGACACTTCACTCCAGGCACATTCTTGAGGATTCTGTCCATTTCCCTCTGGAAGAGCATTGGACTTGACTTCACCCCGTATGGTAGTCGCAGCATACGGTGCATCCCCCATGGTGTGTTGAGAACACAGTACTCCTGGCTTTCTGTGCTGAGGGGCATCTGCAGATACGCTTGGGAGAGGTCAATCACTGAGATGTATCGAACCGGTCCCACTGTTGCAAAAATGTCCTCCATCTTCGGCAGCGGGTGCTTCGGCACTTCCAGGTTTGGGTTCAGCGTTACCTTGAAATCTCCACAGAGCCTTACTGATCCGTCCGGCTTTGGCACGACTACGAGAGGCGTGGCCCATTCGGCGTTGCATCCTCTGACGTCAGTTCTTTTGTCACTCCAAGTTCCACCCATTTTGACAACTCTTGCTTCACTTTGTCCGCGAGACCATATGGCACAGGTCGTGGTGGCTGGAACACTGGTTTGGCATCCTCTTTCAGCTCTAGATGAGCTTCAGTGTTCTTCATCTGACCCAGCGTACCATCAAACAGCTCTTCATTCCTCTGCAGAACATCTTCCAGCTTCCAACGCATTGTCTTCTGAGATTGCATACTTCCCACCAGCTGTTCCCAGTCCAGTCTGATTTCTTTCAGCCAGTTACGTCCCAGTAGTGGAGGTCCATCTCCTTCCACCACATGCACTTCCAGTTCCTTCTGGTTTCCTTGGTACACTACTTCTGCATCTGTGACACCCAGCACAGGGATCTTGTGCCCTGTATATGAGGTCAGACGACATCCAGCTTTCCGCAGACTCAGTCCAGGAAGCACACTGTCTGGCATCAACGTCACTGGGCATCCTGTGTCAACCAGGAATTCCACATCCTTGCCATTTACGGACATGCTCACCTTGATCGCCTTTGACTTCTCCCTGCTTGCTTGATACACACAATAGTTGTCTTCCTCGTCATCTTCTACTTTGTCACCTTCATTACAGTTCACCCTCACTCTCTCTTCAGCACTCGGGTTCCTGCACGCAGCTTGGAGATGACCCGGCTTTGAACAGTTGTTACATCTGACATGTTTCGGCACTCTGCAGTCTTTTATCAGATGGTTACCTTTGCCACATCTGAAGCATTTCCTTTCATCTTCCCTTTGACTGCTTTGCATCATCTTACCTCTTGCATTTTTCATCTGGTTTTGCTGCCCTCTCACAGCTTCATCCTTCTTTGGCTTTCTTTCTGCCTGCTTCCAGTTGACCTTGTTCACCTTTTCATCTTTCCTTGATGCTCCTTCCTCTGACACTTCCATCTTCCGAGCTTGCTCTCGAACAGTGGCATCTGTCGACCATATAGAGATGGCTTTGGTTAGAGTCAGCTTTTCTTCCTTAAGCATGCTCTCCTTTACTCTGGATGAGGGACATGTTGCAACCAGCTTATCTCTCACCAGGTTATCCACTTCATTGACATCAAAGTCACACTTCCGAGCTTGAGTTTTCAGCTTTGCTACGTATCCTTCCACTCTTCCCCTTCGTACACCATTGTGTTGAAGTGATGTCGCTCAACTACTGCGTTTACTTTTGGCTTGAAGTGCTTCTCCAGCTGATCTTTCAACTTTTCATATGCATTTGTCCCTTCCCC